AAATTTTCTTTAGTACTCTAGTACTTTGACTAAACATCAATTTAGTGACTTAGCTCAATATCACCTCTCTGCTGGTTATCAACGAACTTAATGTACAAGAAAGAGTAAGGGGTATTTGTATTTGCGTTGTCCTTGTAATGGCGCCATTCGGAGGGGTGCAGTAGGGATAGGTTGCTTCACTACTTTTTGGAGATTTAATGACCATGGAAGTGTACCCGGAAGACCATCGTGCTTTTTGCGAACGCGCCTAATATCGCAATGGCGATCCCATGATTATATCTCAACGAGTATATCGGGCAAAATTCAATGTACTGAATGAACCGAAGAATGATACCATCAGAAAATGGATTCGAGAATACTGGTTCGACTGTAAAAATCCACAATCCATTCAGGTCACCCGTGTTCTGTTCGAATCCACCAAACTATTGAAGAAATGAGAGTGTCAGTGCGTGAAAATCCGTCTCAATCAGTTCGCAAACACGGTTAAGAACTTGACAATAACAAATCGTCGTTACAGAATATTCTGAAGCAAGATTTACATCTTACAGCTTACAAAATTCAGTTAGCTGAACTGAAAAACTGAACGTTACCGATTATCCTCTCCGACTGAATTTCGCAAATCAAATTCCAACATCATTTTTGACACTTAATTTTCCAAAACTTTGTCTAAAAATTAACAAAAAAGATTCTTTTTCTGACTTGTAGTTTTTTTTTTATTGGAAACAACAAACACTCCCTACTCTTTCTGGACATCCTGTATTCTCATTATCATCAAGGACCGTCACCAGAAGGCACTGAAAGACACGGATAATGTCAATGCAGGGGCGGCCTCGCTCTTGTAGGGGCCTCGCACCCTCGCGCAACAATCTAATTAGAAAAATATTAGGTAGTAATAGTACATCTTACCAATGTTTATTTGAATTTCTTAATAGTCTTAAAAGAGGCCGCAAATTTGCTATCTTTGTCTTTATCAATTTTTTTTAATTTTCGATAAACAATTTTAAAATTGTAAACTTATTTATGAATCACTGCATTTTTCAAGTATCATCATTAAAATTAATTTCACAAAGACGAGGGCCTCGCAAAAATTTACCCGTCCGGAACTTTCCAATGACTAAGGCCGCCCCTGTGTCAATGTATAATGCCTATTAATCTGAATAATATTTGGATGGACTTCTAACAGACTACACCCTGCTGTTGTCTTGATCTTACTGATAAAATCAAGCTTAATACGGGAAAATTCAACAATAATTTATAAGTAACTCTACAGACGGCGTTCATTACACTGTTTTTAGATATTCATTGAATGATGAACTGTGGGTATTCTGTCGGAAGAAAATCCAACAGCGACCTACATCTGACAGTTCCGGCAGAATATCGACCGTACACCAAGAACTTTTAAGGCTACGGGAACTCGGGAAGCAAAAATTTTTAATTTGATAAAAATAGAACTCTTTGAGAGATATTTCTCAGCTTTAACCTCATCAACTTAATATTCCGCTTATTTCGGTCTCAACATATGTGTGCCCCTAGGACTGTCTGAAACGGAAAAATTACATAAAAGTGATACCGTCACGTATTCTTTTATATTATTTGCTCCTCAAACAAGCGATGGCTGGTTTTCAATGGACCGTGATTCTGTTCCCTTTTACTACATATGCATCCGTGTACGTTATTTTTAGAACAGACTATACACGCACCTTTAAAAAATAAATTGACCAGAAAAGCGTGAACAGAAATAGATGTGTCTCCGTTACAAGACTTCCGATTGTAAATATTTCAACGGCTAGGTGCATTGGACTTTTAGAGGTACATACTCATCTACGAGGCGTTCCAAAAGAAGTCTGTATTTTTTTAAATGTAATATCTAGCTAATTCAGGATGCACACTGCCACTGCTACGTTTTAATCTATACATCGAAGAAGCGATCAACATCATTAAAGACAAGACAAATGTAGGGATGCATATACAGGGGCAAAAGATTAGTATGCTTAGATTTGCAGATATAAGCATCTAGCAAGAAGTTAGAGGAGATAGCTTTAAATAAAATGGAGGCTGTATTGATAAAACAGAATCGTATGAAAACAAATAAAAAACAAAAATACATTTCACCTTATACAAGTGAATTAATCCCAACTTCAGGCAGTTTGAAACAATCACTAACATAAAATTGATACAATCTGATACAATTCGTACGTATCCGGATGTGATCGAATCTGTCATCGCGGGCGGTTTAAGTTCCATACTTACAGTAGGTAATGGTAAAACCTGTTATTTTTGCGGAACGTCCCAATAGTGACCATTTTAACTGCAAATAGAGGCAATGATGCCCAGCCGCGTGGAGAGCAGAGGTAAGACAACAACAGCTGAGCACAGCACAAGCCGCCGGGACTGTAGCGGACTCCTCGCTCTCCGTGCGGTTGCGCATTATATCTATCTAATACAGCTGTTGCTCTGTCTCCGACGCCGCCGCAGGCCTTTCTTTCCCTTCGCCGCTCAACACAACAACAAATGATTTCTATTTTGTGCTCATCTGTGATACAATATCTTTCAAATGATTTTTATTCCCTTTTTAGACTTGAAGATACCTGAATCACATATTCATACATTTACTGTCTTTGAACTTATAAAAAAGAATTGGTGTTTTATGAAAGTTAAAAACAAGTAGATAAACTTTGGTACGTTCACCTATATTTACATATGGGGCATCTACACGTGTGGTACCTGAACACGGGAGGTAGCAAATACGTAATTAGCTAACTCATTAATCAAACATGTCATGAGTTCATGTGTTTCTTTAAAAATACGGAAGTTTTGTGTATCTTTTCTCGTTTACACAGAAAAAAATGAGAAATTGAGCATATGGCATTTTGTTAACAGACGATTAGATTTAATGTATACAGCGTACCTAGTGTAACACAAAGAAACGATTAGGGATTTACGGATAATTAGGGTGTCTCTTTCTGGTTCACTAATTTTCTGTCTATTTTTCGTTATATTAATCATCACAGTCATTAAAAGAGGATGTTCGTGATATTTATCCCAATATTATAAGGTTATTAAAGTTTATGAATTTGGGTATAGGAGGTGGTCCCTGAAATTGTGTTACCAATATTATGCTTAGGTAAACGTATCGGTAATTTTACAGTTTGTCCTTAAAATCCCATATATTTTATTAAAATAAGTTTAGCTTGGATAGAAGTCCTTTGGCCCCGTATGTGTTACTGTTATCGAGAAACTACGCCTCGTTGTTTAGTATACGATCTACCGAAAAGGATTTGCTTGATATCCTTAAACCTACGAATGGAAGTACATGGTTGTGGCCAAATTCTACCGTCACGTTCTTTGGTATGCGGTCTACCAACAAAGATCTGCTTGGTACATTTAAACGTACGAATGGTGGTCAATGTCCTTCCTCACTTCGTTTGTGCTGTCGGTTTCTACCGTAACCTTAGAATCTTAACCTAATCGAATCTTAACTGAAGGCTACGGTAAAAAAAAACTCGTAACCATGTCTGTCAAGGTCATTATAAATTCTAGTAAATTTCATATTAAAGTATAGGTAGATCACATCCCAAAAGTAAACAGAATATTAAAGTAGCATCCAAAATACGGTCGGTATTTTACTTCTGCGGTTATTGAAATAAATGGCGGAAAAATTGAATTTAGGAAGTTGATTTTTCGATAATACGATATGGTACATTTTCTATTTTCGTTTACCTAATAGATAATTTTTTAAAAACAAAAACAACTTGCTTTCGCCGTATGCAAAACTGCAATAATAAGCCAAATATTGTTAGCTTGCTGAAAGTAGTAAACAAATCAGTTACTTTAATGTATTTTCCACTTATTGAGAGCGCAAGTATACCTACTCGGTTTAAATTTAAACATTTATTTGACATTAATTGGAGGTTAAAAAAATATGGCTGTTTATAAACAATGTCCACGGTCCACGGGGACTTACGTATTTAAAGTATATGGCGGATATTAACACATTTTGAATTGCGTTGGCTATTTTATAGTTGTTTTTCTATTTTTAAAAACGTAACCGGAACGGAACAGCGACAATATTTTACGCTATAATTTATAATAAAAACCCGCCAGGCTGCATCTCACTGAAATAAATATGCAGATGTATAACATAAAGAGCTCTCGTAGGTCACGGGCGCCGCCATCTTCGTTTTTCGGAAGGCCAGTACCCCGACGCTATATATAAGTGGTTTCGAGTCAATCTCCAAGTATAGACCGTTGGGATTTTGCCAATTAACAGTCCCCGTCCTCACTTTGCTTGAATCGTAAAGAAATTCGCTAAAACTAGGCAAACCTGTGCTATGACCTTGAAGTACCACCGCATAATGTTTGCACCATCTTCAGAAAACGCCCATTCACGACTCATATATGATTTATAAACCGAATATAATGCATAAAAACAACATTATAACGACTTTGTTGGGTCTCGTGCAATTTGAATGCGCAGTAGTGAATTTTTGGTTATATTTTGTACTTTATGAATTTCGGACTGAAGGAAATTAGAATGGAGAAGTATTCGTTCTAATGAACATTAGTATCTGTAGTAATTAGGTCTATTGAGAAAGAATGTACAATAATATTTACAGATATTAAAGCAACCACTCTAATATGTTTACAAACTAATAGCTTGAAATAATAAGAAATAATTTGGAGGTAACTTTGCAAATTATTATAAAGAGCTGTTTGAATCGGCGATAATTCGATGTAGCGCAACCTGTTGTGTATTGATTTGTCTGTTTGTCATCTGTCAACCTCTTAAAATGGAAATGATTCACTGAGAAATTAAGGTCATTAAGTTGATGTTTGGGCGTGGATTTTCAATTAAACCTAATATATACACTTGTGGATAAACTTTTACAATATATTATCGTGGTGCCTGTCTGATAAAGAGTGCAAGTAAGGTTAAATAACGAACTACTCTAATTAAAGACGTCTATAAACACATTTTAAGGTTAATTTTTTGTTTTTAGACGTCGTCTACGACGACCACGACTACGATGACCACTCCGGCTAAACTTTATGGAAAAGATCTTAGTCAGTATGACGAAATTGATGTAGAAGAATTACTATCAAAGCTTACCCCTGAAGAAATAAACATTCTTGCCAAAGAAGTAGACCCAGATGTGAGTAACAAAGTGAATTGTTTTGAATGTGAAATTAATTCATTTAAATAATTTTAGGATAGTTTTCTACCTCCTTCACAAAGATGTAGTTATGACTGTGAAAAGGACCCAACAGGACCATTAAATCGTAAGAAACTGATAGAACATATTAACAAACAAGCCCTAGAAACTCCAGACAAACCTGAACTGCAACCCTATGTTGCTGGCATGGTTAGAGGTAAAAAGGTATGTGTTAAATTAAGTTGAATACAATAGACCACTACAGATTATAAGTTCAGAGTTATAACGGTGTTTACTATTCCAGTGGATTCCTCCTGAACCACCCGCAAAAGAAAAAGAAGCAGATGAACAAATAACTATTGATTTAGGCGATGAATATGAACAAGCATTAAATGATGCAGCACCTGAGGAAATTATTGATTTAGCTGGTAAGTACCTACTCTAGATTATTAAGGTTTGATAGAGATCATTTCATTGTAATTTAATTAAAGGTCCTATTGACATAGTTAGAATTGCTTTGTTGTTGAAACAAATTAATAAACTTCATTCAATGTAAGTAATAACAGAAAAGACTTGTGAGTTGCAAAATTACTTTTGTTTCCCTTTGTCATCATTACGCCACACTGTGGCTTCAATAGGTAGATGCATTATAATAAAAGTATTTTCTTTTATTACATTGAGTTAATCTGGAGTTTCAATATGTACTTGCTAATACAATATTTTTTTCACATTTAAGTTAATATTTCCACTTACATTTGTCTTGTTGCAGCTATTTTGGGCTTCCACTCAATGATGAACCAGGACCAGTATCATGCTTCTCTGCTCAACAAAGGACAGCCTGTTGGTATTGGTTGGGATGGGATAACAAAAGCTTCCAAGCCCAAAATCTTTCCCATGGATCCTCCCAACAATACCGATCCTGAAGAGACTGCACAGAAAATAAAACAAGATGATCCCAAATTGACAGATTTAAATTGGAATAATATTAAAGTAAGTATTTGTAATGGTTAATTAGGGTATAGTGTATTCTACGGATATAAAAATTGAAGTAGTAATTTGAATGCAAATATTTCTGTTATTTTTAGTAAGTCTGCATCTTTTAGTCTAAAATATGCTATTTAAAGAACACTTATTATTTCTATTACTCTAATGTAAGTTTAACATCCTGAATTACAATAAAGTGGGTGGTTTTAAAAATTATTTTGCACATACCAGGCTAGTTCCTGTGTTGTAAGCCGCAGAAAAGGTTACGATCAAAAATTATAAGATCTATCACCAATACTACACTGACATCGCACTAATTTAGTCCAATGTTTAGGTATTCTTAATTTAAACAGATTTTTAATGCTTGTTTTCAATTTCGCACTGTTTTAATTATATTTTAACGATATTAGTAGAATACCTTTTAAAAGTAAGGTTACACTTTATTCGCGAAAGTTTTTTGGCAATATAAATGATATTTATAGTAAAAAGAATAGTTCTGTCGCTTTTAAAAATAACTTAAATCTGTTTGTTTCGTTTTTTCGTTTAAAGACACAAAAGAATTCCCGAAAACCGCTTTTAAGGGTCGCGTTTTATACATAGACTTGAAAAATAATGGCGATGCTGTAGTGCTATTGGTTATTTTATTGAACAACAGCTTACTGTCCAATAAAAACACAGTTTTGTGGTTTGGCGCCTTATGCTTCAAATTTGAATTTATTAAAGGTTTTATTCAACTATTTGTTTTTTGATGTAGTTTTTATTAAGTCGTCTCACATTTTAAGTTTGTATTCATTAATTAAATTAATACTTTGATCAATAAATTTAAGTAATGGCATCTGATTAAAAATATAAGCATATTGTAAACCTTTTTACTTTTATAAAAGGATCTCCGTAAATATTACACAAATAAATAAAATAAGTTAAGTTGATAACTGTAAATAAATAGATTAAAAATAGAAAGTGATGGGTTTTCCTCATTTATCTGTAGATAAATATTAAATGAAATTTTAAAGGTATGCTTTTGTTCCAGAATATTTCTGATGAGAAGTTTGACAAACTTTTTGAAGGATTGGCAAATAATTCTCATTTAGAAACACTTTCCTTAGTGAATGTAGGTCTGACTGACAGGCACGCGGAAAAATTGGCGGACGTTTTAGAAAAGAACAGGACCCTGAAGGTGGTTAACGTCGAAACTAACTTTATTTCGCCTTCTGGTGTTGTTCGTCTAATAAAGTCCCTTCTGAAACAGAAAGTCGTTGAAGAATTTAGAGCATCAAATCAAGTAAGTTTCAAATAATGTTTCCTTTATTTTTTATAATTATAAAATTCAATTTGTTACTTTCTTAATTTAAAATTCACTGAAGTACACTAATAATATAAGATGCTCGATAGTGTGAATCAAAAATATATCTATCGAAAGTGAATACTTAAACGAAACATCTCTCCAATTAATACGATTGGGGAATTACCAAAAATATCGGGGATTTATAATAATGGAGCAATAGCAATAGCTAAATATCGATTCCATAGTTGTCTATATGGTGGGGCCGTCGTTTGAATGAGACTGGGGGGGGGTCTGGGTGGAGGTCCAAGGACTTCGTTCCTAGTGATAAAAGAGGAGGAAGAGAGTTAAAACTGAAAATGGTGAATGTAAAAGTGATGAAACGGTCGCTCCAAAGGGGCGGTTAGGACCTTGAGGTTGGGGGGGAGGTTTAAGGATTTGCATCACAAAATTGGTGGCGGTGAAGTCGAGGAAGGTGGACTCTAAAAATGAAAATTTGTAGAGCCTCACTTATTAGATCTGTCCCACTCTCCATGTGCCTTACTTCATCCTTACTATCATCATCATAAGGTCGTCAGTCCTAAGACTGGTTGGACACGTACCTCCACTCTTCCCTATCCTGAGCTAATCCTCGTATTTCCCTAAAACTAAAGCAATCCATATCCTTAACTATTTGCAAACAGTAATCTAATCTAGCTTTACATCTACCCCTCGTAACTTCTGTTTCTGCCTCTAATATGTCTCTCACTAGACCTTCATGCCTTACAAGGTGTCCTACCAATCTATCTCGTCTAACCCTTCTTTTCTAATCTTCTCTATCCACGGATCATCATCATTCGTCGGTAACACCACATTTCGAACGCTTCTAACCTTTTTCGAATTTCTAAATTAACCATTCGCGAGCATAGAAGTGACTTCTTTTTATTGAAGGCAACTCGATCCTGCGCTATCCTCTGCTTTATATCCCTACTACTCCTTCCGTCCTGATTTATCTGACTTCCTAGATACCTACAATCAGTCATTTCTTCTAATTTTTCGTCTCCTATCTTTATATTCGCTCTTTCCCTATTTTTTTATCCCTTGTATACTAGTATTTTTGTTTTAGTTTTATTTATTTTCAAACATCCTTACCATACACAAAGTTATTAATATATCTTTATATCCATCTTCCCCGTTCTTGCTGCACCCTTTTTCTACACAAAGTTATGAATTTATCCATACCTATACCAAATTAAAAGAAAGACAATTTTTAGACCCACCCTCTGCGCCTTCAACCTGTCAGCCCTAGCATTCACCACTTTTTTGTAGTTGTACTAGGTCAGTCCTACCCTCCCCTACACACTCTATCCCTATCCCAGCGACGAGCCCATCACCTTGCCTTCTTTTGTTAAAGTTTATTGTATTCGGTGGCCTATCATAGTAAGTATGCTGTTCACATTATAAATGGTTTCTTTTATGCGATGTTCACATTATCGAGTGTCCACAAATTGAACATAATTAAAAACATTTGCCTAGTGTGTAATGTCAGGTAAATATCACTGAACATTATATTTAGCAGTGTTTTTCTGTTTATATGGTTTAGTTTTGGGTTTTTGCTAAGAATTATATTTATTTGATTTGTTTTATTGTTTCAGAGATCCCAAGTTCTTGGCAACAAAATCGAAATGGAAATTACGTCGCTGGTGGAACAAAATCCCACCCTCTTACGACTGGGACTCCACTTGGAGTACAACGATGCGCGTCACCGTATTGCCACGCATCTTCAACGTAATATTGACACAAGTAAGTGCTTACATTGCATTTAAATTATTTTTTGTTATTGTTTCAATCAATCGATAAACACTTTTGAAAGATCAAGGTAGCTGGAAAATCATTTTCCTTTCTCCCAGATTGGTCTATTTCGTCATCTCGTAAACCAAGTACAAAGGTTTTTTTTTGTTTTTTTTTTTTTTCGTGCCGTTCTTTGCATCTATATGTAACGAGTTACGTCACTAATAAGGAATGTAGAAGAAATAAATAAATTATTTATGTACTTTTATATGTTGTTAAGGCCAATAACGAACTTTAATTTGTTAAAACATTCAATAGATTACTATTCTTTTATATCAAGTTAAGAAGGCGTGTATAAAATCGAAAAGAAGGAAACATTTATTTTTTGTACGTCTGTAGAACGTCGAACGTTACGTGCCTCGTTTATGGTGACCTTAGGGTCTTCAGGGTCCGGTATTAAAATTCAGGAGATGACCGAAACGGGAGGTAACGTACAAATAAAATCGCCTACAAAAATACAAGGGTTAACTTAGGTTCTTGTAGTGGTTATAAAATTTTTAAAATGATCTTGTCGATGATCGGAAAAAAGGTAGAGACAGAGAGCTAAGAAGACAAGAGACAGGAGTATAAAGTACATAGAAACACTAACCGTAAGAGAGACCTAGCGGTATGGCCTAGCATTCGGGATGACGCCGGTTCGATTCCGAGTCCTTGGTCCAAGTTTTATTCTGTGGTTTCCTTGGATCACTTGGGCAAATATAATAAAGAAACTTTTGGGTGTTTCATTCCCACCAGCTTTAATGCTGGTGGGTGGGGGTAGTCCCTCGGAATTACGCCGGAAAGTAGAGCGGAAGGCCCTCTTCAGGCTCCTTTCAGGAATCGTAGGAATGGGTGGGTGGTGGTTCGGGTGAGAAGGATGAGACGGACGAAATGAAGACAGAAGAGAATGAAAGATTATCTTATGTAATATATAACTGCCCCAGCATTTGCCTAAGTGAACCAAGGAAATCACTGAAAAACTTGGTTCACGGACTCGGAATCGAACCAGCGTCCTCCAGAATGCTAAGCAATGGTCTAAACCTCTAGGCCATACCGCTTGGTCTTTAGGTAGATTGTTACTTCTTCTGCTTATAGTATTCTTGGTTTGACAACTGATATGCCCATTCACTTAGAGAAAGGTACACCGTGAAGGATGTGCACAAATAAATATCGGTCGTAGGCGGAGGGGACTGCCGGAATATAGCCGGTGGTTTAAAGTGAAATGTTAATGCAGTAGTACGTGTGTTTGCCTTGTAAAATTATTTTTTAGTGCAAAATAGTCATTTTCTTACATTGAAGTTGGTTATGTATTTCTAGTTTTGCTTTTCCAACCGCAAGTCTTTGGCGCCGTAAATAAATTTTAGCAGTTACGCGCTTTAGAGCAGTCGATCTGGTATCATGTACCTTTCTCTAAGTAAACAGACTATACTACTGAAATTCATGCGCAGCCGCTTATCGCGCAGAGGATCGTTTCGTTTTCTATCCTTTATTAGTGATGCTTTTTAGACAGTTTAATTTATCAAATGAGAGACTTACGTTCACCCTTGAATTTCTGTTGTGTTATTTCTTTTGCTTTCAACCTCGTACAATTAGGTGTTCGATTTTCAGTACCCTGTTCACGTAACTAAACTAAACTTTCTGTACCTACAAAACGCACGTAAAAGCGGTGTTGCCACGTTGTTTAACTAAATATTTCATAAAAATAAAGTTTAGGGCAAATGAAGGCAGTGTAGAGGACAATGTTACACAAAAAATAGTATAACTAGGTTTCTGCGGAGTTACATAAATATATTATATACAATACATGCATTAAAATTGGTATATATACGATAGGGTACATACAAATTTTTATATGTATATTTCTTTTTCTTTTTTAATATAAATATGGTAAATTATAGTGAGAAAAAGTGTTGTTGGTACCCCTTCGTATATTTTATTATTAAAACATTTCATTACATGCTCGTTTCACAACATCACATTGTTATTCTCCACAGTTCGGAAAGACCTAACGTTACGGCTGCAATTCAGATTCTTTAACCACAGGAAAACCCCCCTAATTAAGTGAAGGTACAGCTGAAATTTCTTATCGTTTTGAAAAAAACGCTGTTTTTACAAGCAATAATTAATACATAATAACAAAAGCAGCTTATACTTACTCGTATTGCGTTTGTTTTATTTTATGGCATAACAGGCGTAATTCGTACTTACCATCTAATCATTAGCGCTGTTGCCACACTGATACGGTTTTTAGTAAGATAACAAAAATTACTTGGAATCGTACAGTTGGTACATTAGCATTGATTAGGCGATAGCTACGAGTTATTGATTCCTAAAAAAAAAGAAAAATGAAACTTGTTTTGTGTGAATTTAATTGTTTTGCTGGATAAAAAGATATTTTGTTAAACCTTCGAGAGTGATAAATAAATGCAAGATAAGTTTCATTTTAAAGAAAAATTTAGGATTTCATCGCTTTCTAATGAAAAATTTGTAGCTGTAGTCTAAATAAAGGAAAATTAGACGTATATTAATTGGATAAACAGCAGAATAACAGCATGAAAGGCTTAAAATTGATATACATATGTATAAAATCTAGACGAAATAAAATATTTTTATAAAGAATGATCTGTGACCAGAAATTTATGTGGATCGCGATTTTGAGATTATTGGTTCTCATCGGCACACCATAGGTAGTTTCGATAAATAACCAACCAAATAAAAATGCATTGTACTGCGATTATGGTCATTTCATGTTTAATAAGTCTTTTTCACTATAAATTCATTGTTCGTGTTAACATATTCAATCACATTATCAGTACAGCCCAGGAAATAACAGGGGAAAATGTCAAAATAAGAAAAGAAACTAATACCAGTAATTTTCTTGTTCGAATATGTTGAGAAAGTTAACAGAAAAGTTTTCTAGTTTCGTAAGTGTCGAATAAAATGGTACGTCATTGTTTTTTTTTTAATAATAAGGCTGATAGGGTAGGATATTTTAGGATATCCAGAAAACTAAAAATATTCAAATTTTTGGTTTTATTGTCTAAAAAAGACAATAATACACCACTTTTTTTGACACACATAAAACGGGAATATTTTTCCGGTATTTCCCCAGTACATTCGAACACGAAAATCGTAGGTATTAATTTTTCAATGTTTTAATGCTCTATTTCCTGGACTAATATGCTTTTAACACTACAATTTACATAAATGTACATATGTACCTACGTATGTCTCTGTAGAAGGTATAGATTTTTTTTTATAAATATTTGTCTACACTTCAAAAATTACAATTAGCTGTGCATAGTTTATATTGTGTCTTTTTGTCGTAAATACTTTTCACACAGTTTGACGTTTTTAATCAAGAGTGAAGCTCGTACCCCCGTTCTAACTATGTATTTGTATTTTTTATTTTATGTTTCCTACCAAATTGTAACAGTGACAGCATGGACTAACATATTGAGTTAATTATTATTTATTGAATTTACTACAGCGATCTGTTTAAAATAAACTGTTGAAAAAAATCAATAACATTATATTTTACATCTTTATATTAAGGTATTGTCCTAGGGGGGGACCTAACCCCCTCCCCCCTTCCAATTTAAAACTAAAATTTTGTTTTTGAAATGTTCTATATGAGGCCGTAGTATTTGTAGGACAAATGTATTTTAAAAGTAATTTAAATTTATATTTTCATTCTCATTCATTAAGATACAGATCGCTTTATAAATTACTTTGAATTGACATGTGAAGATAAATAAAATTAGCTGTTGATCCCTACCGTAAAGCATGTTAATTACGTACTGGAAAATAAATTTATACAGTTGATAACAAACGAAAACCGATGCACGTGATTGCATGTCACATTGTTAAAGTGGATGCGAAAGATCAGAGCTAAAATAGGATTGCAAATAATTTTATTGAAGTAAAATCAAGATCAATCATTTTTTATATCAACTTATTAACAACCCCATTTTGTTTTTGATCTTTTACACATTGTAATATGAGAAAGTAATGGAATCCATAGTTTCTTTAGTTTTGGGTTCATCTAATTCGAATCGTTTCATTCATTGTTTTATATAATGTTTGATCGGATTTTACCTGGAGGAATTATTCCTGTATTCATCATCACATGGTCGTCAATCTTAAGACTGATTGGACACGCACCTCCACACTTTTCTATCCTGAGCTAGTCTTTCCATTTCTTTAAAACTAGAAGAATCCACATCTTTAACCATTTGACAACAGTCATCTAATGTAGGTCTACCTCTACCCATCCTAACTCCCTTTTCTGCCTCTAATATGTCTCTGACTAGACCTTCATGCCTGAGAAGGTGTCCTACTAACCTATCTCGCCTATTTCTTATTGACTTCCGTATAGTCCTCTGTTCTCCTATTGTTTCTAATACCTCTTCATTTCTAAGAACCTTCTCTATCCACGGTATCCTCATCATTCGCCGGTAAAACCACATTTCGAACGCTTCTGACCTTTTCCTTTCCGCCGCGCCCAGCGTCCATGTTTCGCACCCGTACAACGCCGCCCTCCAAACATACACTTTTAACAATATTTTTCGAATTTTTAAATTAATCATTCGCGAGCATAGAAGTGACCACTTTTTATTAAAGGCGACCCGATCGTGCACTATCCTCTGCTTTATATCCCTACTACTCCTTCCGTCCTTACTTATCTGACTTCCTGGATACCTAAAATCAACCGCTTCTAATTTTTCGTCTCCTATCTTTATATTCGCTTTTTCCCTACTTTTTCTTCCCTTGCATACCGGTATTCCTGTATTAGCGTTACTTTTTCTTGTAATGTTGTAGTAGATTGCGTGCGAGGGTTTTTGTGTTTTATCAACTGTATTTATTTTCTTTAGTATAAAAGCATCCACCAAGTATGGTATACCCTTCAAATACAAATTGTGTTTTTTCTGTTTCCTAAATGTGAATGTACCACTTCTTTTACAGAACGTCGCCTATCTCGGCTAGGATCATCTAGCACTTAAGTGTGCTATTAATTTTAACGTATGTATTTGAACAGTTCAAAAGAAATAGTAGACAAATGCTTGCGCCTGATCGATGAAATGTTTCCTCGTTTTTTACTCTTTTTATCATCATTAAAAATATTCGTCAACAAGAAGGAAATGTTTCATTCGATTTTTTTTACAAACGCTTTAGCCGCTTTGTTTTGTACAAAAGCAAATAAAATGGTGAGGTAAGTGAGTGGGGATTTTACATTTTGCTTTATAAATAACACGCTTTTTCGGCGTTAATTTTATTGTTTGACAATGTTCTAAGAGTTGACATTCATAAAAAATGAAGTAGACTGACGTTTAGGTGTTGATGTATATTATTATTATCTTTTAAGCTTCTCTTTTTGCTTATTTTTCTTGCCTTAAAGGCATTTAATATTGCCTAGCGTTTTTTCTTTTTTCTAATAATAGCTATATATTTTTTAATATACGAACATGTAGTTAATGTAAATTCAATAGCAAAAACGTAAAAAGAAATCTTTTCTATTCATTCAAAATCCTTTAGAAATAAAATTTATCGTGCTGTCGTTATTACGAAATACGGGGACGGGTACCTAAAAATGGTACTGTCTAATCTTGGGCGATAAAAAAAAATATTGTAACTATCGGTATCTGCTTCGATATGTCTACAACTATCGATATATAATCAATAATTATCGGTAGCTATCGATATTGATAACAATAAGCAACTGATAACTATCGATA